AGTAGGGGTACCTGTTGCAATAATTCAACCTCGGTTAGAAACCAATCAAGGGTTGTGTAAACAGGCCCTGAATAATCTAGTGAGGTTAATATATGGATCCAGGGTGGACTCCCGTATAAAAAGGACAAGGGTGCTCATTGAAAATTTTAAAAAGAACCTCTAAAAGGTACCAAGATCCTGCTTTGTGGGCCTAGCTTTGATTTTTTTCACATCTAAGAGATTCCAGGAGCCTCCTAGAGGTACCAATTCTGAGACAAAACTTTATCTTCTGACAAATTATTTTGGCTCAATACCCTAAAAGGTACTGCAAATGCTCTCACTGTGGAGCTTTTAAGACTGAACACGCTAAGAGGTACCCTTACCTCTTTTTTAACTGCTAAAAGGTACAGCGAGCAGCCCGATCCTTTTTCAATGGGAGTCCCCACCCCCTGGGATATTGATCACATACAATATCTAAAGAATGATGCAATTCTTACTTGTGTGGACAATTAGTTACCTGTTTTACTACATTTCTACCTGAACTTAAATGTAGTGTTTATAAATGTTTGCTGTAAGACAACTGACACTAAATGACAAATAAGCCATATTTTACAATTACCCTTTGCCAGGCTTTATCAAGACAAGTCATCATGCAAAACATTTTGTATAAACATAGACACGCAGGGCGTGTAAGAGTTATTATTTTTTTTGTGAAGTGTCGGAGATAGGAGCATTCATGGAGCTGTTTACAGTAATGATTTGGATAATTTGACAAGTTTTTTTTGGTTGCAATGTACAGCAAGAAAGAAACTGGGAATTTATGATCTACATGCGATGTTACATCNCAAATTATTTTGGCTCAATACCCTAAAAGGTACTGCAAATGCTCTCACTGTGGAGCTTTTAAGACTGAACACGCTAAGAGGTACCAAAACCTCTTTTTTAACCCCTAAAAGGTACAGCGAGCAGCCCGATCCTTTTTCAATGGGAGTTCCCACCCCCCTGGGATATGGATCACAAACAATATCTAAAGAATGATGCAATTCTTACTTGTGTTGACAATGAGTTACCAGTTTTACTACATTTCTACCTGAACATAAATGTCGTGTTTATAAGTGTTTGCTGTAAGATGACTGACACTGAATGACAAATAAGCCATAGTTTCCAACTACCCTTTTGCCAAGCTTTATCAAGACAAGTCATCATGCAAAACATTTTGTTTAAAAATGAGTTAGATTCATATGCAAATGAACACTCATGTAGGTGAAACATTTTCATACGTGTGTATGAATTGTCTCGCTTGGAGACTCATTTTGACACGCTGGCAAGAGGCAAATAGGAAGTAAGTGGCCTGTTGAATGGATATAAATAAAATAAATATTTGCAAGATCCTTTTTAGCATGTATGTTCATTTTTCAACTGATGTTAGTATTTGCTAGCTCCAATATGGTTGATTAAACTCCATATTTTAAGCCCTGATGAACTATCAAATATTAAGGTGATAAATATCTACCTTTGACATGACCGACATAGCCTCTGACCATCTGTGCTCGAAAGTTCAGCTGAATGAAGAAGTTCTTACCTCAAATAGTCTGCTTATGGATATAACATATACTTACTTCGATTTTGGTTAATGGAGCAATTAAATGTTGGAAGAGTCATCTTACCAGCATCATATTAGAGCAATATTTATCAAAAGGCTTTTTAACACCCACGAACAGATGATAACATCAGGAACTTTAAATTTTTAGCATGCAGCTAAGTTTCTGAACATTGGCTTTTAAAAAAGGCAACAGATAAATGTTTGAGGAGAAACGTGAAAGCGAAACAAAAGGATTCCAGACAACCAGGAGTACAAAAACAGGGGGGGAGTTTATGTCAACAAACTTTCTCAGCTCAATACTAACCCCACA